ACACTAAATTTTTCCTTAATTATCAAAATTTTTCCAGAAAAAACAAACTTTTCTGGGGGGGCTAAGACCCCCCCCCCACTTTTACTTCTGGGGGGGGGAGGGGGCTTTAGCCCCCCCTAGTTGTGAGGAGTTTTAGTTAATAAAGTTAATAATTTGTGAATACAATGCTTCTTATTTTAGCCAAATAGCTTTTATAGGTTTTACGGCGTTACATTATTATCAAACAGGGTATAATTTGTTGGGGGACACACAGTATATTGCATGCATTCTTTCGAACCGTAACCCTTGATCTTCGTCAATGAAAATGCATATTGCACAATAAAGAGATTATACAAGTAAAGTAATCTAATTAAATTATTAAACTTCCTAGGTCTGCATTAAAATAATAGTGTTTTGCCTTAGTTGTTGACCATGGCTAATTGGGATCCATGCTTACAAGTCGAAAGCTTTTCATGTAAAGAATTTCCTTATTTGGTACTTGTTTTAGCTATTTGAAGAATCGCATTTTGGCGCTGACTGTATTATATCAAAACTGATCGAAGAAACACCCGACGTCGCCATGATGATTTTTAACCTCTGCGTTTATAAAGATAAATATTTAGCTCATCGTTCTTATGGTGAAACAGAAGTAAGAAGGAGAGTGTGCTACTCCTTTTTTCCATTTATACGAAAAAATCGTAAGTGCTATCATGCGTAGTAGTTTATGGTAAACTTCACAACTATAATTGCCCGATTCTTAGTTTGTGAGTTCACGCGTACGGCAACCACGTTTCATATCAGTCATGTTTCTGCTCTCTATTCTGGGTTTTGAATAGATAAACGCAATGTGCAGTCTAATTGCATTCATCACCCAACGTTTCGGCACTCCAGTCGGTCTAATGTCTTCATCATGAGGGATGATCTAAAATCGCAAGAGGACCTCTTATATATTGGAGAGATGACGTCATCTGCCAACAAGGTGGAGATACTCTTGTAGAAAATAATTACCATCATCTCTATTTAAAGCATGTCGATGATTCATGTTTATTCTATGCAACGTTTTGCCAATAATGATTGTAATTACTGATAATGAATCCTATACTCATTCACATGTTTGGTTTCATTCACAAATTCTGCTATGGCTGCACGATTAGCTTGTGTTTAAAGTTGAAACAGCCTTTTGATGTTCTTATGCGTGTGCCATCATTCAAAACTATACGTTTCGACTTTAGATCACCCCTGAGGAAAACACTACACTGCATGGAGTGTTGGCTTTGAATTAATTTACCGTTAAAAGCTTGGCGTCACAATGCTAAAAAATTCCTGAAAAATTAAAGGTGTCCTAAATATGCCTATATTGTGGAATTACTATATGTTTGGCTTAATAGTTTTCTCAACAGATTTTCTCAACACTATGTAAAACCTTGAGATTTTTTGGGAATTGGAACACTCTACATTACCAAACTATAGTGTGTAAAAACTATGAGTATATTAACTAACTTCCATAATTTTCCCAGGAATTATTCTAAGGAAATTTTATCACTGCACAAAAGCGCGAAAAATGATCAAATTTATATAAATTTAGCGACATTTTAGAAAACGTTCTCACTGCTCTGCATAAGTGCATACAGTACTCTGCTTCTGCAACTTAAAGTTTGCTCCATGCATGACACTAATTATATATATATGAAGGCAAATGAGCTAAAATCACCGCTAATGAGCCCAAATCTGCATGCTGCATATTCCATTTCATGCAAAAATATACACATTTTCACATATTTTTTGAATCGCATGCAAAACACCAAGCGATATTGCTCAAGAAATGTTTTTTTTACACTCGTGATATAGATTACTCTACACCTGCCCATTTAAACAGCGTCAAAAATCTCAAAACAAAATCGCTTGGCAGCAGTTTATAACCATACGAAGGTGACATAAAAATGATTTTCTTGAACACGACTTGGCCGCTAGGAGAGATACGAGATCGGAATAAATATTAACTCGAAACGTTAGTACATGAATGCTTTATTGGTCATTACAAGAGGTCGGCAAACAGTATAAATATATATAGACGAGCCCCCAGATTGCAATAATTTTGAGTTAAATATTTTCACCCTGTGTATTCCCAGTAAAAACTGAAAGCTATTGCATGTGGATTATACGCAAATTAGAATACAAGCAGTGGCCATGTTGTCAATATTTGGCACTGAACAATATCGGCATTATCGCATTTTATATCACTGCACAAGTCTCGTTTATCACTGCACAAATTGGTTATCACTGCACCTTTGAATAATCCCAGGTATGTTAGAAATTGTACGCGTTGGCGATGTCCCAATATTTCCGATATGGTACATGCAGCTTTTGCTCAGTGTATAAACTCTCCATAAATATCCTAATATTATTTTTTTTTGAAACAGCGCTATATATATCGTTACAAAACTATATTGAAAGATGTATAAATAATTTCATTTTTTAGCTGACAGGAAGTCGGATGGTAAGCTTGAAGCTATTGAAAGCATGGTTAACTTCAATCGAGACGATTGTTTGGGCCATCCGCTGGTTATACGGTTCTTAAACGAGAAAATGAACTCTTCCAGAATTCTAATATGCTTTATTCTCAATTTTGTACTATACACCACATTCCTGCTTGCTTTAACAACATATGGCGCCATTCAAAGTCAAGGTAATAAGACATGCAGGAAGCAAAAATGCTTATTCATGCATGTTTTCATGTTAACTTTCTACAAAAACACGAAAAATATATCTCATTTAGCGTGCATGTTTTGACTCCAATATTTAGTCGTTAATTTTCATATGTTTTAACCCATAATGTAATTCACTTACTGCACTGTTAATTTCGGGGAGTTAATTTAACTCCGGTGGAGTTATACTGTACCTCAATTAACTCCAAATGTGGAGTAAAATTAGGTTCAGAATAATACCACTGGAATTAAATTAACTCCCTGAAATT